TATAAATATTTATATTGAAAAAACACAAGGAAATGTAACAGGTTATTGTTTATTATTAGAAGAAGCAAAACATTCAATTAAAATATCCGACAGACGGATGATTCGTATAGAATAATCATTTAAATTACCCTCTTAAAAATGAAACCAGAAACTTTAGTAAAAAGAATAATAGAAGCTATCGAAACGGAATCACCAACTACAATAACATTCAATGGCAAAAGGATTAAAATATCTAAAAAAATTATTGATAAATATAAACATTGTAAAGTCCGTGATGATATAGATTTGGAAAGAATTGACAAGAGTGTAAAGGAAGGTGGATTTTTACCTTTCCTACCTTTAATATTTACTGGTCTGGCCGCAGCAGGTGCGACAGCTGGTGTGGCGGCAGGGATAACACAAGCCATCTACGCCAAGAAAGCAGCTGATGCTGAAAAAAGTGAAAAACGTAGACATAATATGGAAATGGAAAAAATAGCTCAAGGTTCGGAAGTAGCAGATATATTAGGGACAGTTAAAGAATTTGGAAATCGATTTAGTGAAGAAACCAAGAAAACAGTTAAAGAGGGATTAAGTAATCTAATAGATAAAATCGACACAGGAGAAACGAAGGTCAAATGTAAGGGTAATGCTATATTTTTTAAAAACAAACATTCTGGAGAGGGAATCTTTCTTTCAAAGTATAAAGGAGAAGGAGTGATTTTTGGAACAAAAATATGGAATAAAAAATGGGAAAGAAATTTAATCATTCAGAAATATTTCCTAGTAATCCAATGCTCATGTTTATATGCGGTAGCTCAGGTTCTGGGAAAACTTATCTGACCTTTAACATGTTGACAACACCAAAACTTTTAGATTTCGATTCATTATATATCTACACACCAACACCAGAGCAATCATATTATCAATTCCTCAAAGCTTTAGAATATATACCAAAGAAAGACGTTCAAGACATATTTAAATATCATGAAGACAATGACGAGATAGAAATAAAAGATATCTTAGATACATATATAAAAGAAAAGAATCCATCTTTCTATCCAACGGATATAAAAGTTTTTCTTACGAAAAATGTTAATGATTTAGATTTGTCTAAAATTGATAGTGAGCGAAAGCACTCAATAGTGTAGCACAAAGAAATCAAGCTGTTCAATAAGAATTCTTCACAAAGGAAAGAAATCACAACTGTCACTGCATATACCAATCCCAATCTTTCTACGGTATGGATGCAATGTTCATTCGAAAAAATGCAAATTGTTTTTGATTATTCGAATTGAACGACAAAGATTTATCTCAAATTATTCAGTCAATTAATCACGGAATGGATAGAGATACATTCAAAAAGGATTGTTAAGCGCAATGGAGAAACCCAGATGATCATGGATATATATTTGTAATACTAGAAAACCTGCAGGTGAAAGAGTTATGACAGATATATGTTAATTTCATTTCTTTAAAAATGGGTGATTGGAATAATCATAATAATAAATTATAAAAAGAAATAGACAATATATCAAAGCTAAGAATAAAATAATATTTACATTAACAGAAGGATTAATAGATTTAATGAATGGCGGGGATGTTGATATTGCCGATTACAAGGATTTAGTAGAATACTCAGAATTTCTACATATGATAAGAAAGACGGGCCGGAAACAAGAAGATTAAAAGAAGTTGATCTTTATATAAGAGCTATTAATCAAGATGATGAATATGCTGAAGACAATCCAATCATACAAGAAATAGACGAATACGAAGATATGGTATCTAGACAAGGTATAACTTTTTTATCCGATAATAATGAAGAATTGCTTAATAGATTAGAAATAATATCAGCAGCAATGAAAGAAGGTCATCGTTCAGACAGACAATATAATGAAGTAAATTGCATATTAAAAAGATTCCTAGAGAAAGGTATTATAGATAAAAATGATTATAAAAACGTAATTGATAAAATTATCCAATAAAAATAGTCATTGAAAAAATGCCAAATAAAGAACAATTATTCCTTATCACCTCAAATAAGTCAGACATTAAATTGTCTCTAGATTATGAGTATGAACTCGATCGCAATGAAGAATATGAATTGGGATTAAAATATTTCTCTGTTTACAATTCCATTAGAAATATCAACGAAAATAATAACCAAATGAAAATATCAACAGATAACGGAGCTACATTCAAAACCATAAGTTTACTACCAGGAAGCTATGAATACGTAGACATAAACGAATATCTATCTGAATATGGGGGAAGTGCAAATGGTAAGAACAATATTGAATTCGAAGGTAATTTGAATCTGAACAAAATAAAATTGATATTGAGAAATAAGAGTCAAGTTGATTTCAACGTAGCAAATTCTTTGAATACTTTATTAGGATTTGATAAGCAAATATACACACAATCCACTTTAGCGCCGTATAAAGCTAATATCGAGAATGATATCGACGTCATTAATATTCACTGTAATTTAATAAACGGTGGATTTTTCAATAAACACAAACGTCAGATTATTTACAGTATTCCAACATTCACCGTACCGATTGGATATAGAATTATAGAGAAACAATTTCAAACAACATATTTACCACTTAATTCGTTCATGATTAAAAATATAAATCTCGAAATCAAAGATGGTAAAAACAGGTTTATTGATTTTGGTAACGAAGAAATTGTTATTCAACTTCATTTAAATCAAAAGAACTAAATTTATTGAGTAATTAATCACTCTTCATTCTCTTCTTGAATATATATGTAATCGAAATCATCAAATTCATAGTTTTCATCAAAACTATACTCATCTTTATCACTATAAGGAAACATAATTCCTCCACTGTTTGTTGCTTTTCTCCTTACAAGATTCAAATAACTTCTAAAAACTTTCTTTTGTTTATCCCCATCCTTTGGATTAACTACTCCATTCGTGAAACATCATGTCCACTAGCCAACTAAATATAATCTTCTATACTCGTCTTATTATTAGAAAAACCCTTATACGTTTTCTTTTCTTTTAAAACACCATCAGAAATTAGAATGATATTATATTTGACTTTTGGCGCTAAATATAAACCAAATATGATTCCACCATCACCGTAATCATTCTTTCCTTTACAATATTCAATTTCAGATACCAACCCAGCTCGATTTAATTTATCCCAATTTCTAGATGAAATGTATAAACTATCAGTATCGGTATAGTATATTTCAGGTTTATAAAATCCATTTATTACATGAATGAAATTATTCATTATTTTTTTTCTGTGAGATAAAATGAATGATCCCAAATGACTAGGTGTTAGTATTGTAGATTTAGTTGAGTGATCTTCAGCAGTTATCTCTTTTTCTTCAATTTCTGTCTCAACGGAATATTGAGTATCATTTATTTTTTCATAGTTTTTAACAAGTGAGTCGAAGTTAGCCTGAAAATTCCACAAATGATTTCTCGTGTTTCTATCCTTCTGAATAGATTTACCATACAAGGAATTGCATAATAATTTCATACAATTACTACCCACAATATTACCTTCTCGTTTATATTTATTTCTAAGATCTCTTAAAATCAAAATATAATCTCTATATGGTGGAGTTTTAAAATTTTCTTTGTATACTATACCATCTAATATTCTAATAATTCGTCCACCGGCTTTAACTATTTCTTGAATATCGACCGATGTTAAAACATCTGAACAGAAACCATTTTTAAACCTGATTTTACTCCCAGTTTCCTTTTTGCCTTCTTTATTCGTTAAAGTGATATTATCTTTAGCTGGTATCGGTTGGAAGAACATGCTTTTGGGATAGTCAAACCACACTGTTAAAATAGCTGTTCTAGGTCTAAATTTCTGTTCATTGAAGAGTTTTACAAATTTTTTTTCTTCTTCTAGTAGAAACGGTCTAGCACTTTCTGCTTTTGGATATTCACTGTCTAAATCCGACATTGCTGAAGCGTACAAACCATTAGCATCAAATGCCATTAGTTTAGTACATTTTATTTTTGTATGTTTTGAATTAACCACTGTTTTATCTTTTGTGCTCGCGCTGTATTCTTTGAATGGATTAATGATGTTATCTCTTCTTGGATTATCACTTCGTGTTTCACTATTTGAATTATCACTTTGTGAAATACTTTCAGTTTCACTTTGTGAAATACTTTCAGTTTCACTTTGTGAAATAAATTCCTTTAATACATTACAAATTTCATCCATTTTGTTTGCTTCAAATAATTTTCTATTTGCCGAAACTCTTCCTCCTTTAAATAGATCGTCTGATATAATGTCTTATAAAAGGATTAGTGTGTGAATAAACTTTTTCTATATTTTCTTTTTTAGTATGTTTCGGAACCATTCTAGTAGTTTCATACCATTCTTCTTC